AATCAACTTGGGTAAGCGGGGGACACGGTCAGGTGATGCGTCTTTTCGGAAATTTTGAAGTTTTCGTTCTCCTCCTCCTTTGCTTCATCCTGAATCATCCAGACATCCTTCTTTAGCGAGGCTTATCACTCCTACATCTCCTCTTCGAGAAACTGAGCTCGCAGACAAACGCTTCAGCAGAAGTAAGCCACTGCCTTGCTTTCTACGTTTTTTGGCTGCCTTCTGTGCTTCAACGCGTCCAGGTCAGCCGAACAGATTTTTTTACTGAATTAGGTTCATTTCAAAAGTCCGTTGCCCGCCAATTTGGACACCCAGACCAAAGCTTTGTGTATGTCTACTTTAACCACGATTTTGTGGGCGGATTCCTTTCTTAGCAGACCTACTGCACGTTATTGTGTTGGACGCTTAGTTGCCCGTTATTCTGGCCGAACAGGTGCGCCTGTAAACTAATCTCCTGCATGAGCATCATTCAACAAATGATCCCTGGCATTCATTGTCCTATAGCTGAAATTCACGACTGTTGATGCGGCTCCTTCATCGAATTGATCTTAAACGGAGAGCTACTCAAACTCTGTTGTCTTTGATCACGTCGTATCCTTGAGAAATTTGGGTTTGATTTGAGACCCCAGAAATGAAAACGAAAAAGTATGGAAGCAACTTAGCTTGAAACTGGGACACTTGGAGTAATATCTCTCGGTCTTGATGAATTCGTGTTAAAACTGCAGATTACCAGCGCATGCAGCCCAGAGATCCTTGAAGAACGAAGAAACTCGAATGTCATGGATGGCCATACAGTAGAAACGCACAGCTTAAGGCATGAAAATCTGCAAGCTCACCGCCACCAAGATAACAGAAAATCAGCCTCACGAAGGACATAATCCGGGATGATCCTGAAGATACGGAACCTACCTCATGGCAGGAATGTCAATATCCTAGGTGCAAAAAATTCCCAAAATAAGGAGAGTCATATTCCCATTTAGGACTTGTAATGTGCATATGCTGTCATACAATGTTCTCAATCGCAACATCACGACTTCGTCACCGAGTGGCACCGCGTGCGCGAAGTAGTTCAACAACGTCGTTGAATCCACGGTCCGACGCGGCTTGCAGTGCCGTGCCATAACGGCCGCCTCGAAAGGACGTAATGGTCAGTAGCTTGAAACAAAAATAAATAAAAGAGGCATTCACACCTTCAAAATTAACATCGGCGCCATGTTCAAGCAGCAACCTCAGAATCTCTATGTTTCCTGAATATGCGGCAGCCTGTAGGGCGCTGCCGTACTTGCCGCCTAATCGAATAGTTAGGAATGCAGCAGGCAGTGAAACAAGATCTCCACTTACCTTCGATGTTGGGGTCGGCGTTGTTTGCGAGTAAGAGTTTGATGACGTCGAGACTTTCACGCGAGGATGCCGCTTGCAGGGGGGTAGTACCGGTGTCATCTTGGCGAACGATGATTGAGGTAAGTAATTCTCAGGGAATATATATAGTGTGACGAGCATCTCTTACCTCTGACATTGGGATTCGCGCCGTACACGAGTAACATTCGCGTGAAATCTACGTCGCTCCGCGACACTGCCAATAGCAGCACAGCCGGAAACTCAGCGTCTGTCAGCGGCGATCCGTTAATGAATACATCGCGATCCAACTAATAGTACAGTGCTCACCGTGCACCCTCACATTGACATCTGCACCCCTCCGGACTAAGTCACGCAGAATTTCCGTCGACGCCTTCCACAGTACTGCGTTCCGCAGCGACGAAGTGAAATCCCGGCGTGCGTTGAAAATGCGGAGGTCTCGCAGAGGTAAGAGTAAGAAAAGGATCGCGAGGGTCTGTCCGAACGACCATCCCGACTCGCCGGGTTTCAAGAAGGGCCTGTTATGATGCAGCGTGAGCTCAATATCGACGATGAATGCGACGTTGATGGCAAAAAGGACCACCAGGCCCGCGAAGACGGGGAGGAGAAATGGATTATAGCCGACGTGCAATGTCCATGGACTGGCAGCTGGCGCGCGTTTGGAACGCGATGATGCAATTTTGGTGGGATCTTGCATCGAACGCAGCGCGTCATGTCGCTTCTCGGACGATGATGATGGGTCGAAGCTGTCGGCGTACCGTGCCCGGTGATATACCCCGTAGGGCAAGAGGAGAGTGAGGGCACCGACCATCGGGAGAAGGATATTGAATACCGGTGTGAGGAAGGTGGCATAGATAATCAGGGACACGATACGCAACGTACGCGACTTGAGAGGGATGCCTTTCCCCAAAATAATATAGGATGTCCAGTGCAGTGCACAGGGATCTGCGTTGTTGGCACTTCCGAATGTTGCTGGGTTCCTCCAAAGCCATATTCCGAAATACGACATCAGGGAGAGGTGGAGAGAGCCAAGGATCGCGACCGCTGTGAGACCATTGATGTTCACATTGAATATCGCTGCCAACAATGAGCGCTGGCCACTGTTGGCGCCTGAACGCAATGCTTAGTTTGGTTGAATGGTGTATGTAGAAGATTTGAACCTGTATCATCCTCGGAGGTGTTGGAACGATCTGATTGTTGGCTGAACCGTCTTACTTGTGACGGCGTTAACGAAGCTGGTAACTCATACACAAGTAAGTGTCGCACACCTTTCTGACGATTTGGCCCTTTGTCGCCCCACAACGCGTCAAAGCCGCCACAGCAACATAGCCAGGCTTTGACGCACCTCCACAACGTAGATATGTCCGATCTAAGCTGATGCGGTCCAAGCTGGCTCCTTCGCTGGATGTAGAGCAGGAAGTAGATGAACGTGTTTGTATTGCTCATCCAGCTCAGACTGAGCACAATCGTCGCATGGAAGTTGTCCAGAATTTGCGTGTGCGCTTGGATCATCGATGAGATGAGGACGCCGAATGCTGTGATGAGCATGGTGGTAGATTGGGTCTCGACGGCTTCGAGCTCGTACGACGCGACCCGGCCATCCCAGACAGCTGAGATCGCAGGTACAAAGCCGAGTACGTTTTGGATGTAAATCGCTGCGCGGACACCGATGCCGGAGATGTCGGGATCCGCACCGATGCATGGGGGTGTGAGGGAGGAGTTCATGGTGGTAGAGAATGCGCTCGGCGCCTGAACAGGATGGAGGCTTTAGTACGATTCACCCGTGCCGTGCCGTAAGGAGCCACTATGTCAAAAGTGGATATGCCGGGAGAGGCTTGGCTAATCGGCGAGTTTGACGGCAGCAGAGCACCACATTCAACTCACCGCAAGGGGTACCCGCTGAAGAAATCTCCGACACTAGGTACAAAAAGTGAATTAAGACCTCCGAGACCCCCCCCCCCCCCATTAGCCGAGGTCCCACGGTCACGTTCTTCCCCAATTCGGAAATTTCTTCGCTAAAATCAAGCGACATCAAGGTTTTTTCACCAGTTTCTTGTTAGCACGCAAGTCAAACGTGGCTCGCTGAGCAATTTTTAATGCCTCTGAATTGTCGAAATTGATGCCAGACCTCCCAAAAAAACCTTGAATTTTTTTTATTACTGCAAACACGTTTTTGAAAGGTTTTGAGCCGAGTCCAAAAAATGAAATAAGACCGTCCAGACCCCCCCCCCACCCCATTAGCCGATGTCTCGGCATTCTCCGGCGGGTACCTCTTGACTCACCGTTCTATTTATCGTCGATCTAAGAGTAGAATATAATACATCCGCCGATGACTATCACCGTATAAAATCGCCGAAACAGATACAGTGTATTCACATCAGCAAAATGTTTCTCGTCTGGCGGCGGTCTGGTTCCTCTGGCTTCACGCCTCCCAGATCCTCGATACCGTGACTTTGCCGTGACTCCTACAAGATGGCCTGGCCATATACAGTAATTGCCTGTTTGCGCAGAAGCCATTGGAGCCATTGAATGGCTTTTGGGCTGTGCGCAGAAATGGCATCCAGATTTGAAACCATTGACGTCATATTTTGGGGGTGGGGCCATCCGGTTGCGCCAAATTTAAAAGCTTAAGAGAAGATGGATACGCACCACGCCTGCGTTCCGACCCTATGTAGACACACCGCTGGCGCCCTTCGGCTTCCTTCATCTGCCATTTGTGTACCTGGGTAGACGTATGTGTACATACCAACCAAAGTCGACATAGGTTCGGCGCCCTTCGGCTTCCTTCGTCTACCCAGGGTACACAGCCTTTAAATTCGGTGCGCGCGGTTCGGCTACCTTCGGCTACCTTTAGCGACTTACGTTGACTCACTGTTTTTGAACGTGTCTGACCATGATGTAGATGTGGAGCCGCAGTGGTTTGGCCTGGTTTGGCTACCCGCTGTCTACCTGGGACCGGAACACAGTGATACATCAGAGTGACGGGCATTCGGAGTCTCCACAGTGGGGTCCGTGAGTGAATCCAGAGTTGTGCGGCAGCTAAGGCACGAGTTGTTCGTGCTCGCTAAGAAAGACAACCCCGATTGAGGATAAAATGAGTATACTCAGCCTTGGTGGACCAATTCAGATCGTCCCTGCATTGTTCCGTGCGAAGACTTGCAAGGGGAAGACGGAGGTTCGAATCCTCTCAGGGCATAGGGGGTTGGCGAAGACCTTTCCTATCCTTTGTTTCTGCCTCCGGCGCATATCAGAAATTTAAAACGTGGATTGCTCCACTAAAGATGTCGGGGAGGTGCTTCTCCTTTGCTTCATATTTATAGTGCAAGACAACGGTCCTCCAGTGCTTTTGTACGCGGATAAATCTTAGTTGAAGTACACATCCAAAAAGCTTTGATAGATCAATGCAGACCATCCTTTCATCATGCGATCTTTGGTGACGTTACATCGGGAGGTTCAAATCCTCCCCCGGGCATGACGACTCGCTGATTTTTGTTTTACTTCTGGCTTATTTCTCGGCTATGGTAGCGGATGAGCGCACCACAATATTGATGCCACATGCAAATTAAATCAAATACTTACCGGGAACAGATCCTCTCTTGTTCATTTCCATCTCACAAAATCGTGGTACAAGCTGACATACCAAAGCCTTGGTAGATCAATGCAGATCATCCTGCATTCATAGCCTGAAAGCGAGTGCTTATATCGGGAAGATGGAGGTTCGAATCCTCCCCAGGGTCTGAACGGTCCACACACACATTTTGTTTTGTTTCTGACTTACTCCTCGGCTGTGGTCCCGGATAAGAGCAACATAATGCATGATGCAAATTAAATTCAAATACCGAGCGACTCTTCAAAATTTGCTGGGAACCAATCCTCTCTCGTTTACAAAATCGTGGTAAAGGCAGCCATCCTGAAGCTCTGTATACTATCTTCGGAATGAGATAGGGAAGACGGAGGTTCAAATCCTCTCCAGGGCATGCAGTCACGGCTGTTAGTTTTGTTTTCTTTCTGGCTTATTCCGCGGTTACGGTATGCAATTTCTGCTATCGAGCAACTCTTCAAAATTTGCAAGATCAAACCAGGAACTCCACACATCCACTCTAGCTTCTTTCACTCTCCCTACCTCGCATGTCGGAAATTCAGGTGATAAACATCTAGTAAAGAAACGTAGATTGCTCCAGTAAAGATGTCGGAGAGGTTCGAATGCCAAAACATATTTTGTGCGGCTTCTTGTATGATAGTGCAGGACAACGCTCCACCAGAGCTATTGTACGCGGACAAATCTTGATTGGAGTACGCAGACAAAAAGCCTTGGTAGATCAATTCAGATTATCCTGCCTTAATAGGGTTCAAACACCGGGGGCAAAGACCGAGTGAAAGACGCATGCGTTAAACATATGTCGTTCACATGTGCGTGTGACATTTGATAAAGGTCTTTGTTGTGGGTAACCTTTTCTTTTACCAAGTACTATTTAAAGTGTAGTTAGATAGCGTAAATATAAGACATTGCTTCAGAATGGTTACAATAAATTTCGGCTTTAAAATGATATTTGTATGGGTTATATGAGGGTTTTATGTTCGCGAGCTGCAACTGAGCAGCAGATGAGGCCCCCGGTCACTACCTATTACGTCGGTCCGGAATAGAGTAAAACAACGCCTGAAAATGGGCGTATCTCGGTCCGTTTTATAGAGTAAAACTGGGTCTGAGAGCGCGAGCTCGGTCCGGCATAGAGTAAAACTGCGCCGCAGGCAAGAAAATTTTGGGGGTCAGTAGCACCCTTGGTGGAGTTTTTTTTTAAAAACCTTATGCGAGGGGACAAACGCCTGTCGAAAACGTGTACGCATGGGAATACAAATTATTTGACGCAAAATGGGCCTGAAAAGTAGGCGATAAGCGAAATTTTGAATATTTGAGCACCAAAACTCGGTCCGAAATAGAGTAAAACTGCCTTGAAAACCGGAAATTCATAGAGTAAATCAACCAAAATTTTCGAAAATTTCCGGACCGACCTAGTAGGTAGTGACCGGGGGCCTAGCAGATGCCATCATGTCTCCGCGAAGTGACGGCACGATGGCGATGGGATTGCTGTCGCTAACTGGCATCACCCTCGGCTCCGTGGCTGACATTCCCGGCTTCCAATCTCTCCCCTCTCTCTGCTTAAGCGGCTTGAAAGTGCCAGTCACGTAGTCTCTCCTAGACAGCCGCTATAACAATATGGTGTTTGTACCTCGCATGCTTTTCAACAGCAATCATTGCATATCATGCCCACGCACAGCTCCCTCAGTTCTATGCCATTTAGCTACGCTCAAGAGACCGAGGGCACAAGCTCATTCAGGATCATCTCTAACTCAGGCTCAAGCTGGCTTGGACCCTCCATCCAAGCCACCAAGGCAGTGACAGCAGCAGCAGAATTGCTCCCATTTCCCTACATCAAAAATGTGCTTGTAACAATTTTGACCCTCTTGCAAGCAGTTGAGGTATGCATGATACGATTCCTATGGAACATGGACTAAGTTATGGCTACAGAAAATCAAGAAAAATAGGGAGGACCTCAAAGAGCTATGTGAAAGTACTATGGGAATTGTGGCCATTCTAGATGCCCAGTTATCATCTTTTTCAAACACTGCACAAACACCGCTTAGGGGTCCATGCAAGGAACTTGTGGAGTAAGTGATATGGTGTTTTTGTAATTCAGCACTTCAACTTCTCTGGTTTAGGCTTTTGTGCGAGGTCCTTCTCGCTGTGGAGAGATTACATATTACATCTCAAGGCTTTCGAGGTCATGTTAGGGAATTTTTTAAGTCAAGTGGTATCACAGATGAGATTATGGGATATCATAGGAGAATTCAAGAACTATGCTCAAACCTCCAGGTGTGTAGATGCAGTGCCTATATTGAGCCTCATGATCCTTTTCTGATGACCAGCATCTCAGCTTACAGCAGCAATTGACACGAACCTCGAAGTACACAAAATAAGTGAAGCCATTACAGGTCAAATAACATCCAGTAGGATGCCAAGTTGGAAATTGTGTTCAAAATTTCACTGACATTACTAGATGCTGCCACAATGGAAGTAATTCAAAAAATCAACACCTGCCCCCCACCATCTAGAATATTCCAGGGTAGGAGGACAGTCCTGGACAAAATGCATCATTTCTTTATCACAGATGGAGGGAAACAACAAATTTATGTGCTGCATGGGCTGGGTGGAGCAGGCAAGACACAAATTGGTCTCAAATTTGTGAAAGAGTCGTCGTATCTGTATAATTACTGGTTCAAATCTGTGGCCCTGATTTTTGACCAGGATCCTTCAACTTTTAGTTTCTCCAACATCTTTTTCATCGACACAAGTACCATGGAGATGGTTAACACAGGTCTCAAGAACATAGTTATTGAAAAAAAGCTTGGGAACTCACCAAAAGATGCTCTGGCATGGCTTACCGGCAAACACGAAGAATGGCTTCTTTTCTTTGACAATGCCAATGATCCTAGCATCAATCTAAATGATTTCATCCCTCAATGTGACCATGGAAATGTCATTATCACATCTCGCAATCCTGCATTATGCATGTATGCTGGAGCACACTCTCTCATCTCAGATATGGAGGAGCTAGATGCAGTGGCCTTGTTGCTCAAAAGTGCAGCCCAGGAGGTCTCACCCAACAATCAAGAAATTGCTGTCAAGATTGTGACGGTATGACAACTGTAATTTGGGTTTTCACTATTTGTTAATATTTTAGTTCCCCAGACATTATGCTACCTTCCTCTTGCAATATTCAGGCTGGAGGATTCATATCAAAATCAGGAGATCTCAGGGGATTCTTGAAGTTATATGACAAAAATCGAGAACAGCTGCTTGGTGAAAAGCCAGCTCAGTCCCATGACCACTATGCTTGGACAGTGTACACAACATGGCAAATGAGCTTCAATCAACTCAGCGGACCAGCAGTTATGTTCCTGCAGTTATGTTCATTTCTTCACTATACAAGCATCTCTGAGGAGATTTTCCACAATGCTTTCTTGTATGACTTTCCATTGTCAGGTCCTTCCAAGCAGGAGCTTCAGAAGCCACTCGACTTTCTATCCCATTTTTTGACATCAAGTGGTGAATGGGACTCTCTTTGCTTTCAGAATGTCATCATTGAGATCAAAGCATATTCTTTGATCAGCTTTGATCCTGACAGACGAGTGTTTTCCATCCATCCATTGGTACTTACATGCTTGGAGTCGAACTACACTGAATGATCAACAATCATATCATTCCATCATGAGATCCATCCTTGGCATGGCTATCACAAAAATCCCAGCACATGATCTGCCACTCGCAAGTGTGAGACTGCTTCCTCACCTTGATTTTCTGAAGTATGCAGAGACAGAAGAGGGTCCTGACTTCAGAGAAGCATTCCGGAGGATATATATTTGTTCAGGACAACCAAAGAAAGCAGAGATGGTTGCAGTGAAGGCTCTGGAGCAGAGAAAGATTTTACTAGGTGAAGATCATCTCGACACACTGCAGAGCATGGCTAATTTGGCAGCAATTTATGGTCAGTTGGGGCATTTAAGCCAAGCCCAAACACTTCAGATCATGGTTATACAAAAGCGAAAGAGGCTCCTTGGTGATAATGATGCAGGCACCCTGGTTGCTGTCTGCAACCTGGCATTTACATACTACAGGCTGGGAGAGTTTTAAAAAGCAGAAGAGCTTGAGCTGGAGGTGCTTTAGAAGCAGTCCAGAAGTTTGGGTGATGATCACCTGGACACAGTGCGCACTATGGGGAACCTAGCATCAATATACTCGCAGCTGAAACAGTTCAAGAAGGCAGAAGAGCTTTACATTATGGTGCTCCAGAAACAACAAAAGCTTTTGGGTCCGGACCATCCCAACACCTTGCACACCATGAGTGATCTGGCACAACTTTATGCAAAGCAGGGAGAGTTGAAAAAGGCAAAAGAACTTGATGTTGTTGTCCTCAAGAAATACCAAGAACATTTTGGTCATGACCATCCACGCACTTTGCAAGCAATGGGCAAACTGGCAGAAAGATATGCACAGCTTGGAAAAATAAAGAAAGCAGAGGAGCTTGGAGCTGTAGTGCTTGAAAAGAGGCAAAAACTTTTTGGTGATGATCATCCACGCACCTTGCTTGCCATGAGCAATCTGGCACAAATATATGCAAAGTTGGGAGAGTTGAAGAAGGCAGAAACCCTTGATGCTGTAGTGCTTGCAAAACGTGAAAAGCTTTTGGGTGCTGAACATCCAGACACATTGAATTCTATGGCCAATCTGGCGGAAATATCTTCACAGCTAGGAGATTTCAGGCAGGCAGAGGAGCTTGAATCTGTGGTCTTGGAGAAACGGAAACAGCTTCTGGGTGAAAATCATCTGGAAGTCTTACTTGCTAGGCAGAGACTCATATCCACATTTCGAAGCCTGAATAGACTGAAGGAGGCTGAGGAGCTTGAAGATCAGATTGTGTAACTGTATTCATGACATGCTCTGTTCTTCTGAGTCCCTAGGGCCATCCAAAGTGTTCTTGATGAGAAAATACTCAGCAAAATATGATTGAATTATGATGTGTATGAATGCAGATAGGGTATACCCTGGCTTAATCTTTGTATGTGAAAAATAAAAAATTCTGATTGGAGCCCGCATGCCCTGAGGAAGATTCGAAGCCTCATCCTCCTTACGGCATTTGAAGGAGATCAGCCAACATCACAATGTCTGCTTTGATCCACA